CTGACCCTTGGCTCCCTGATCCTCACAACCCTTGTGTAACATCTTTTCCAACCCTTGATCCTCACATCACCACCATTGCTGACCTTATCAACCATTCCAGTCACTCTTGGAATGAACCTCTTATAAATTCCATCTTCAAGACTTCAACCAAAGGGATAGTGCTCTTATTCTCCAAATCCCTTTAAGAGTGACTCAAGGCTCGGACTATTGATTATGGAATGCCTCTCCAGGGGGACTCGATGTAACTTGGGCCTGATGCCCAAAAAAAAAACAAATTGGCCTTTTCGTAATATGCAATATGTTTATTATTAAATAATAATTAATTAAAATCATCATTGCTTTAAAAAATATGAGTAAAAATAGGTACAAGACTGACAACTCACAAACAAATATATAAATATATAAAAAATATAAATATATACAAATTTATAATAACAAAAGTTAGTAAAATTAAAAAATAATTAAAGAAAAAAAAACTGATTTAGAAATTTAAAAATTCTTCAATAAAATAAAAGTGCGTTCAAATTGAGAATTAGGAATAAGAAAAAAATAAATAAATAAAATAAAATAAAATCTAAAAAAAGATAATATGGAAAGTTTCTTCACTTCCAATATAACAGCTAAATATTTGTTGTGGTGCAACTTACCCAAAAAATATATATATATAGTGTTGATGTAAAAAATAATGTGTATAAAAAAAAGTGTATAAGATAGACAAAGAAAAAATATATTATTTAAGAATAAATATTTGGGCCCATATTAAGTGTGTGTAATGGTTAGGATTTGGTTTACTCAACAACCGTCAATGAGGAGGAGAGAGAAATTGTGAAAAAAAATGAGATATTTTGGGAGATAAATAAAAAAAAAAATGAGATTTTTTTGGAGATAAATAATTCCTCTTTTGAATGAAAAGGCGTGAATGGATAAGGAGGGAGAAAACAAAAAAGAAAAAAAAAGATTTATTTTAGGAGATAAATTTTTTAGAATTAGTGTTCAATAAGACAACAATTACAATATATTATATAAAAGGCAACTATAATATTTTGAAACTTTTTTATTAGTTAGGTAGGCAACGGCCTAACTCACCTAAGACTCTAGCCGCCCAGTACACCAAACACACCCCCACACCTCATGCTTGTCACAGCCATGACCAAGAATGCAAACCTCTCTGGAAGCACTTCATGTCTATTCCCGCCAAAAGGAAAATTCAATTTTTCCTTTGGCAGTGTGCTCATGAAAGATTACCCGTTCTCTCTAATCTTAAAACCAGAGGTATTGTCTAAGATGATACTTGTCCAGCCTGCGGTCTTGCGCCTGAAACAATCCACCATCTCCTTTGTCAATGCCCTTCCTCCAAACTCACATGGATACACAATCCACTAAGACTTGAATTTGACTCTCTCACTCACCTCCCATGGGCAAAACAATGGCTCAGCCTCACTGACTCATGGAACAGCTTTCCCAATTCCAAAAAATGAATTTAATTTAAATTAGGATCATTATGTAGCACAAAGGCTTGGCCTATGCATTCAGCTGTACTATTAGATACTATTTGGCTAACAAAACCAACAACTCCAAGTTGCAAAAATTAGTTGTCATATTGATAGTGATTAATTAAACTTATGTGTGTTGAATGTATAATTATCTTCTCCTAATATTCTTCTTTTTCTCTTTTTTTGGTCTCTTTGATCATGAGATCTCACATAATTCTCCCATGCTCCAGTTCATATTAGAAAATTATCAAAATAAACTTTTGACTTTAATTATATTTGATGAATCTATATTTACTGAAAGTGATTTATTAAATATTTGACCAACTAAAAACCAATACACGGAGGGCTAGGAACAATGCAAAATATAGATTGAACTTTTAATAGTGTCCAAAACAGGTAAATGAATAATAAATGTGTCAAAAAATATATATGTGTGTGTGTTGGGGGTTAAACATTCCACATTCTGAATGCTCCAACACAAGCATATTAAAGACAATAATGAAGTCGTTGTTCAAATAAATCCCGCTCCAATAATATTATATATATATATATATAGTTAAAGAAACGCCACTTTAATATTTTTCTAGCATATACAAAAACTCAACATTAGGCGAAGAAATGTCAGGAAATTTGAGTGCTATATCAAAAAAATAATAAAAAAAATAAAAATAAAGTTAATTTCACTGACACTCCCTCAGGTTTGGCCAAATATCACACTCAAATTTCTGTCGAAAATAATTATCATTTAAATCTATTTACATTTTTCCGTTAAACTCTCCGTTAATAGTATTGAAAAAGACAACTTTACCCCTAATTTTTTTAATCCTATTTATTTCAAAATATAAGATTACTTAAATAACCAATATACCCTCAAGTGTGTGTATATACATAGGGTTAAATTCTTTTTTTATCCTATTTATTCCAAAATACTAGGTTACTGAAATGTCTAATTTACCCCTTTGTTATTAAGGTTAACCAAACACTATTTCTCTAACATTGTTCCTCTGTCTATTTAACCAAACACTCCCCTCAAAATATATATATATATATATATATATATATATATATATATATTTGGTTTCCAACTGCTTTTGCCCTCTCTCCTTCCTCGCTCTCTCTCAAAACTCTCTGTGCAAACCCATTTCTCTCTAAAATCTCTCCTTACAAACCCATTTCTTTCTCTAAACTCTCTCTCGGACCCTTATCCGCTCTCTCCAGTCTGCTTTTATCACCGCTCTTTAACTCTCCAATAATGACAAAACAACAGATGAAAAGAATATATAGTATATGTCAAACCTGCAATTGGTCTTCGTTTGTCTTCGCTGGACTCAACCTGTTCCATACCACCACAATAATGACAAAATTAAAGAATATATATATATATATATATATATATATATATATATATATATATATGTCAAACCTGCTTTCTGTATATTTTTTCTTCAATTGTGTCACATCGCCATGCTTATTAGCCCTTGATTTTACCATTGCTAATGGCACCCAAAATGGAACAATGGCAGTGTGTAAAAAACTAAGAACAATTATATAGCTAAATGAAGTACTATACACAACTTAGCCAGGTTCTAGAGGCAAATGAGGACTGCACTGATCGAAGGAACTTTTGAGTTATTTGATCTTGTTTTTTTTCAACTGTTTTTCTCTACAGGAGTATAAAAGGAAAAATTTGCCCTGTTTCCCATATAATAGATACGGAAGATAAACTGAAACTGAAAATGGTTCCTTAAAAACACTATCTAGAATAAAAGAAAAGAAAAAAACATGTTAACGCATTAAATTAAAATGAACGAAAGATCGATACAGAAAAATTAATCTCACGTCACATGTGTATTTTAACAAAATAGAGAAGAGGGGAAGCTGAGATGTCAAATAATTAACCGGGAAAATATAAAGGATAATTTACTTACAAAGAAACTCAAATAAAGAAGAAAAGGAGTTAAAGGGCATTAACAAATTACAAACGCAGACCAGTTGGCGACTTTTTGGTCTATCTAAGCCGTTTTATGGTCTGTCTAAGCTTCACCAACCTAGCTTGCCGTTTTTGGTCTGTCTAAGCTCGCCGATCTAAAATGGGTCGCTGGAACTGATGGAAGCTACGTACAGTTCGAAACTGAGTTTCGAATTGGGTACGCCGCCGGCCTTATTCTCTCCATGAACACCGGTGATAGCTTGAAACTGGGTTCGCTGGGGAGAACTAGAACAGAGTTTCAAAGTGGGTTCGTTCCGAGCTGAATCAAACTCCATGAATGTCCACGTAAACTGGGCATAAAAGCGGTACATCCTGTTCCAGCGGCGGTGCATGACGTTAGTGGAGGTTTGTGGAAGTGGGGGTGGAGCTGGTTACGGTGCAGTGCGACGTGGTGGATATATATGTATGTGTTCAAAGGCATATGCGTGTGTGAATGTGGGTGGGGTGGGGTGGGGGGGGGGGGGGGGGAGGGATACATATAGTTTTTTAGTTTTTTTACTTTATTCTTTAGGTTTAGGTTAAAGTTTTTGAAAAAGTCAAAGGGTATTTAAGGTATTTTATATTATGTAATAACTATGTAAGCAACCATTAGAGTGTGAGTGGAAATGGAATAAAAATTTGTAATGTGGGTAATAGTTATTTTCAAAAGATATTTGATTAAAAATGAAAGGAGTGTGAGTAAAATTAACCCAAAAAAATAATGTGGTTAACTATTTCACATTCTGAATGCTCCAACACATAGCATATTAAAGACAATAATGAAGCCATTGTTCAAATAAATCCCACCCAATTAAAAATAAAAAAATAAATAAATAAAATAAAATAAAAACCGCTTTAATATCTTTCTAGTATATACAAAAACTCAACATTAGGTGAATAACCCCACTAAAAGAACATAAGAAAAAACATGATAAAATGTCAAAAAAAATAATTCTTAAAACCAACCAAACAACATATTTGTTATTTCTCCCATTATAATTACCATAGAAAAATACTAAATCAAACATTTAAACAAAAAGAAAGGCAGTGTCTGTCCGTAAAAGTGTGCTAACTATAGTCAAAGTTGTTTCTTGAAATAAGATAAAAGGGGAAATAATTGAAAAACAATGGGTGGGAAAAGAAAGAAAACTCCATTTTAAATTTACAACTATGTCCTTTAGTAACAAAAAAAATTACCAAAGTTCTATTGGCTCGACTTCTCATTTGTTAATTAATTTGCAAAGGGTAAAATGGACATTCAAAATGATAATATCATATGGTCATTTTTTTAACATCATAATTCTAACATAGAACTTAGGTAATTTTATGATAATATTATTTTGAATGTCCATTTTACCCTTTGCAAATTAATTAACAAATGAGAAGTCGAGCCAATAGAACTTTGGTAATTTTTTTTGTTACTAAAGGACATAGTTGTAAATTTAAAATGGAGTTTTCTTTCTTTTCCCACCCATTGTTTTTCAAATATAAATGCTACAGTATAATTTTCTAGCCTTTCCTTTGTTAGTCAACCAAACTACCCTTTTCGGTCTTTTTCCCTTCTCATGTCTTATGGCAGAAGTGTCGTAAACAACATGTGGACTAACTATGTCGTGTAAGATTCGGTGGACTTGGGGTTTTTTGGGCCGACATTGATTCACCATTTTCTTAGTCATCTTCGCATCGTTTATGGTTAACTCCATCACCGAACTGCCACCACCAACTAGAATCATCGCTGTCCATTAACGTTGTGGAGGATCTAACGCCATTGTGATCTCTGTCACCAACATCTCCGGTACATTCAACTTCCCCTATATATATATATATATATATGTATATGTATGTATGTCTTACAAGTTTTCCTGCGTGTTTGGTGTTTGATATTGTGTTTGTTCACGGATTACGAAAGTCAATTTAGGGTATGTGTGATGCTAGTTTAATTGGGTCACTGAATTGAGGTTTTGGTTCGTTGAATTTTATTATGCACTCCAAATGTTTGTTTTAATGCCGCTGACTCAACAGATATCGTATTTGTTTGATTTTCTTTTTTTGGTGTTGAATGTAGACCCATTGTGTTTCTTGCCATGTCTGTCCATTCTTTGGTGTTTGTTAGCAATAATTAGGCTAATTTGTCAGGATTGTTATGGATTGACTACTAAAACAACCTTTAGAATCAAACGCAGAGAAGTCTTAGCGAAAGCCAGTGTCATAGGGAAATTGTCACTGCTATGGGCCCGAACCTTGGTGATATTTCCATTAGGCCAAAATTTCAAATCTTTACATCAATGGTGGATTGATCACAAATTCCATATCTTGACTTGAATTTAATTTGTAGCTCAAGTTCTTCCAAAATTCCTTCGGTTTTGGTTTATTTGACTTGTTTATTGTTTTATTTTTTTCAACATCCACTGGTAATATAGATAGGTTACACATAGTTGATGTACATAATTGATTATGGTGACTAGCATGTTGGGTTTGATTGCAAGTTAAAAAAAAACACTCATAAGAAAATTGTTGGGATTGTTGAATAGGTTATGGCATACTCAGATCCAGTGAGTGCAGAAAGGGAGCAGATAGAAGTTAATGCTTCTCCAAGAAAACCACGGATTCTACTTGCTGCTAGTGGAAGCGTAGCAGCAATAAAGTTTGCGAACATTTGTCATTGTTTTTCTGATTGGGCAGAAGTAAGAGCAGTTGCAACGAAGGCTTCTTTACATTTCATTGACAAAGCATCACTTCCTAAGGATGTACTTCTTTACACGGATGAGGATGAATGGTCCACTTGGTCGAAGATAGGTGATAGCGTCCTTCACATTGAGCTCCGCAAGTGGGCTGATATTATGGTTATTGCCCCATTGTCAGCAAACACACTTGGCAAGGTAATAGAATTCAAAATCTTGTGAAATGTTTATTTTTATTTATTTATTTATTTATTCTTTTGATAAGCGTGAAATGTTTAAAATTTTTAGAACAATCTTGTAAATTCTTAATAATTTCAACGGGGAACAAGAAGCTGAGTTTGGAGTGAAGCTGCTGAGAAGAGAATCACTTCAATCACATTGCTTATAGTGTGTCCTGAAAATATTGGTATCCTTACTAGTCACCTCCCATTGCTTCCTATAAAGATTAATGAAGGAATATAAAATACTTATGAAATGGCTTCCTTAATCATTTCATTTTATTGGCATAATGTTATTTTATGAAATCCTAACAGTAATATGATTTAATTAAGCATGTTAAAGAAATTTATGAAGCCACTTGCATGTACCGAGCTCTAGCTCAGTTGGCTTGGGGAAATGTGAAATTCATGATTGGTCACTTGTTTAAGTATTTTACCAGAAAGCCAGGTTGTACCCTCTGGAAAAGATAAAACATATATATTCTTTTTCAGGCTCTCTCTTGGACTGAGTGAACTTCCCAGTCACTTCTACCTACTTAGATCTTGGTATATCTATGTTCTTTCTCACCTTTTTAAGGAAGGAGAACTGTTTCATCTTCCTATTTCACATTTTACAATTGTCACGCTTTTTAGATATGAGACCATTGTTAAGGATGACCTATCAAATGAGACTTTTGATCTACTTGGACTCGGTTACTTGCCTAAATTACCAGTATTAATTAGGTTGAATACCTTCGTATTTGGTATAATATGTCTAAGTATAGGGTTCATTGAGTGAATAGGGAACCACTGCTTAGGAGTGGTTCTGCATGGACCTAGCAACAATAATGAGGCCAAAATGCACATATGGGCCCTTTGCATGTTGAGTCATCTTCACTGTATGTGTTTGTATACTTGAGGAGAGGGTGGGAGTCGGAAAATGACACATGCCCCTCCCTATGGAACATCGAATAGCTATAAATATTCCTTTTATTCATAAGTAAAGAAGCATTCCCCACTAGAGAAAAGCCCACACAGATAGACATTCTATAGTCACCCTCCATCTCCTTCATCCTATTCCTCCTCCATCAACCACATCCTCTTCGGGTGTCTTCTGGTGTGATGCATATCTTAGATATGGACCCTCAGTTCCCCTCACTAACATTTTGTTACATTTTTTGTGCATATAACTGAATTATAGTTTGGAAATATGCAGATCTCTTAGATATATAATATTAATAAGGAGTTTAGTTCTAGTGGTATCTCCTCTACCATCCAAGTGGAAGGTTTCGAGGATTGCAGCCCCTATAGGGGTATCTGCCGATGTGGGAGTGTCTTTCTTACTGGGGAAAGAAAATACAGTAATAAATTAGTTGAAATAGATTACGGAGTCTTTGTTCAAATCTGAAGTTGACTTGGTGAACTAACAATCACTTGCATGAGTTCTAGTCTCTGACAGGCAATAGGCTGCCCCTTTTCATATAGGCATTGGTTTCCAATGGAGTAAAATGAGAAAAGGAGTATATTGATGTTGGTAAGACTGTATATAGTAAGACCTTGTTTTATACTGTCTTTTATTTTATTAGGTGCTTGCACTGTGTAGGAAAAATGCCTATGACCTATAGTTAGAGGAAATCTCGATTTCTGCTTATAGAGGATCACTTATGGCATAGTTCTTGACACGAAATTGGCGATTGTAAGCGGATGGCTGCACGTCATCATTGCTACCCTCGAAATGAACTGGCTAGCTAGAATATGCATGTCGCTTCTCTGAGCACTTTTACTCACTACTACTTTCTTCCCGTCCATCTCTGGGAGTTCATTGATGGAAAATGTTACCAACTATTGAATATAACAATTAAACAGATTCATGTATTAACCTCAACTCTGACAAATAAACCTCAACTTTTGGGGGTTCAATACAAATTCTTTTTAAATGTAACAAACATATATTCTAATTTATATAGTGAACATGTTGGGCAGCTATAAATTCTGAGAGTGTTCCCCTTGGCCTCATATGTATAATTTTTAAATTGCTTCTATGTGTATTAAGTTTTGCATTTTTCTTTTGGTTTTCTACTGTAGATTGCTGGGGGATTGTGCGACAACCTGCTGACCTGCATTGTGCGAGCATGGGACTACAGTAAGCCACTCTTTGTGGCGCCAGCCATGAACACCTTCATGTGGAATAATCCGTTTACAGAGCGACATCTTATGTTAGTTGATGAACTAGGAATTTCTCTGATCCCACCCGTTACCAAGAGGCTAGCTTGCGGAGATTATGGAAATGGAGCGATGGCTGAACCTTCCCTCATTTTCTCAACCGTAAGACTCTTCTTAGAATCACGATCTCAATCTAGTGGCGGAAATATTCCTTGACGAGTGCCTAAAATTTTCATTTTTTGAAATGATAGTGGCAATTGAGATAATTGGTATAAAATTCTAGATGTGGTCTTTTCCTAATCTGCACCAGATGCATTGTTATTTCTTCTTCCTTCTGTTGTAGACTTTAAATCCAGTGTACTAAAACGTGTGTGTGTGAATAAAATATGTTATCTCAAATGTTGTTCGGCCTTTTGAGCTACGTTATCGACTTTGGATAATGTTGTAAGCACCATATGTCCTTATAATTTTTGAGATGACCTATTATTTAGCATTTGATTGGTCAACAAGTTAAAATTGTTCTTTATCAAGTTAAAACCCATTATTGTGAATTGGCGAATTCTACAATGAACAAATGCCAATATCTTTAGACAAACACTTTTTTTTTTCTTTCTATTTTTATTTTATATTTTTTTTCTCCTCTCTTTTTTCAGAAAAGTTGAGAAATTGTGACTTGCTTGGTTTGTAATTTTAAAAGTAGAAAACTGTTGTAGATAACTATCTTTTATAGTTTTCAAAAAATAGACATTTTTATAACTGAGTTTTCAGAAAACAGATTTTCTGAAAACTGAACCAATAAGAATTTTTTTTGTACTATTTTATGTTTTCAATTGTCTGAGAACATAAATGTGTTTCCATAATTACAAATTCTCTAGTGAGATTAGGATAGTTGAACTGAATAAAAGATTGTTTTTGAGATTAGGATCATAAAATGAGTTATTTAATTCCCAAGTCCCAGTTTTTTTTTTTTTTTTTTAATTCCTTCATATTATAATTTTGAAATATGTCCAGCTGCAAAAACCGGCAAAAGACTATTCTAATTTTTATTTTGTTTTTACATTTTTACTAAGAAAAACGGGCTTTGATGAGAGTCCTACTGGGGCCTTGAGTGGGAAAAATAGAACTGGGTTCAAGCAGGCTTCGGCCTCCTTCAACATAGTGGGCCACGAGGCCCGGTGACCAAATTTTTGCAGGCTCGAGCCTGGTTTCGTGAAATATGTCCAAGACACAAATACTTATTTATAGTTTTAAACAATGGAAAAATTGTTTTTAAATAATTATAAATTATAAAGTCAATAACATATGAATAATCACCAAATTTAATAATTAATGTCAATAAGTTCAAGTTATTATGAAGGTAATTATTTTATTGTAACAACTAAATATTGCTAATCTATGTCTCGGTTGACTTTTTAGGTACTCTTAGTAGTCACATATTCATATTCTATTATCCATGGGATTATCTTTTGTTTCACTTGCTAGGGAGTATTGGAATTTGGACTATTAGTGTGGGCTTGTAGATGCCATTGTCAGTACATGGTACCTAGTTCATATATATATATATATATATATATATATATATATATATATATATATATTACATGGATTTAATGCCTTGGCTTCCTAGGACACCACCATGTATACATTCAGTTATACTTGTTGTCCCTACATTTTTTATTTGGCCTTGGAAAGTCAAAGTCCAATCATATGTGCATGTGTGTCCAATTTTATTCCCTCGCTTCACATTAAAAGTCTATATTTAGAATTTAAAATTTTGAAGGGAACAATGCATTATTTAATGCATTGTTCCCTTTTAAAATTATTAATTTGTTTCTTCTAATTTAAATATATATAGTTACAAAATTTGAAATTTTTTAAAAGATAAAGGACAATGATGAAAATATAGAATTTATTTACTTTGATTTTTCAAAAAGGATAACTAATTTGGGACATGTAAAAAAAGAATAATGGACTACTAATATGGAGCGGAGAGAGTATGACTTTTGGAACATTGGTTATCAAACAAGTTTATATACTTGTTTTTTTTTTTTTTTTGTTAAATCAATTTAAAGTTAACAAACATATTTTATTTTATTTTATTATTATTTTTTTCCTTTGCATGTTATGACTTGAATGTGGATTTTGTAACATTTCGAGGCCTAGAACGTCTGAATATCTATCTATCTATCTATCTATATATATATATATATACACACACACACACATTATAAAAGTGTATTTAATTTATAATATTTATATACACTTTAAAACACTTAATTTATTTAAAAACATATTATTAGGTGACTTCTCACATTTTCAATTTACGTCTTTATATATTTTTAAAATTCCTAAAAGTGACACCTTTTAAGATACTCCAAGTCTAAAATAATACGTAATAGTTTATATATTTTAAGTTGCTTTTGAAGATTTTCTTATATTGCCAACTAAGTATACTACAATTTGACAGCTTTAAACCTGTTAAACTTCTCCCAGTTCAATTTATATTATTTATTTACACTTTAAAATATATAATTTAATTAAAAAATATTGTTACATGATTTTTCCGGTTTCAATTTATAGTGTTAGACACCTTAATATTCCTGACCGTTACACCTTTTAAAATTTCAATGCTTTTAGTTACTTAAAATTTTATTATTAAAAAAAATGTGACTTTTCATGTCTTAATTATTTTACGTGACTTTTTATTACTTAGAGTTGTATTTTCAAAGAATTGTATAACTCCGAGACGGTCTCAAAAGAGTTTTAAATCTAAAAAAGTTATCTTGATTTCCACAACACTAGTATTGAATGTATCGCGGGGGCAGAAGCTATATATAAAACCGGGACAGAAGCTATTCATTCAAACTGCCAACCTCAAGCCTATCTTAATCTCTCTCTTTTCTCTTGCTCTTTTTATCTCATACAAAAAATTCTATCAAAAATAAATAAATAAATAAAAGTTATAGATTTTCTTTTTTCATAACAATTTCGAATCATTTTAGATGAAACACATTTTGATTTGTGTCCATCAAATCAAACCTTAAAATCTTATTTTTTTTGAAAAGGTATATTTCAGTAGTTCTTGCCGATGGAGTGGCCCCACTTTGGTACTAATTTTTTAATTAAACTAGAAAATTATACATGTTCTTCTCCAATAGGTTAGTGCTTCCGGTGAATTTTGTAGTATCAGACTTTGACGTTCTGCACTTACTAATCTAACTTTTAACCCTTCTTACCTTAGAAAAAAAAAAAAAACTGATGCATTATAGAATTATATTCCTTTACAAATTGTACTTTCCCTTAATTTCTCAAAAATTCTTAGATTAAATTATTAGATTTGCAGCATTGGATGCACAATATCATTGTTGGATAATTCTTGCATTCATGATTTATAAAATCTCCAATATTCCCGGTTTCTTTTTCATTTTTGTGGCTTGGTCACGTGAACTTCTTATATTAACATGTTTCTTATGTTACGGTGACTGAATTTTTGGTAATTGTAATAATTGATATTGCGAGAGAGTTCACTTAAAAAAAATATTCCTCTCAAAACTTTACAAGAGTACCACTCAAAACTTTGGAAGTGTATTGAATCTGAAAGAGTTGTTTTGAATTCCACACTTTCTCAAGCGTGTCTCCAATATATGAAATGATTGTCTCTACAAATGGGATTATGAAACATTTTCTCCACTAATCCCATACTATTTCTGTTTTTATTCTTTAACCCACCCTAAATCAAAGTATTTATATATTTTCTTAATATAATTTTTATTTATATGTATCTTTACATATATATAATTTTTTTAATTCCAAAAAAAGTAATCCAAAAGTCACATCTTTATCAATAGAATTTTTATTTTTTATATTTTATTGATTAATTCCAAAAATTTGACTCATGCAAAAGTCACATCACTTCTCTTTTTATATATATATATATATATATATATATATTTACCATATAAAAGTTTATTCTATTTTTAATTTTTATAAATACTTTTTCCAATATTTTGTAAGCGTCTCGATTTTCACACTTCATTTTTAATTTTTAAAGTGTCGTCTTGATTTTTACACTCTCTATTCTCAATTTTTAAAGCGTCTTTCACACTTTTTTTTTTTTTTTTTCAATATGTTATAAGATTGTCTCGATTTTCAAACACGTATACACAGTTTTCGATTACACAATCTTATAAAGCGTCATTTCGAGTCTCTACTGAAATACGAAAAACATTTGAAAAAAAAACCAACAAATCCAAAAATTAGGATTATGAAAAAAAAAAAAAAAAAAAATTCACTTGCCCACCAGCATGCAAGTGTGAAGTGAAATAGATTTTGTTGAAGACATAAAATTTATGTTGAAAGGTAATTTGGGTTTTTAGCTAGTTTGGTGTCCCAGATTAGGTAAGTGGTCCCTTAAATTAAGGGTAGGAGACCTGCACTGGTAGGTGTGACCTTCATGGCTCCTTCATGTCACTATTGATGATTTATCCTCTTCTTCTTACTCTTAACTTTGGAGAGGAGTTACAGTAGTACAACTTTCATATTTCAATTAAGCCTAATTTACTAATCTCTTTTTCTTTCTTGTACCATATTTTTCACAATGAGTGTTTTCAATATATCTCTAATTATTAAAGTCACTAGATTAAGTATTTAACATAACATAAACATGTTTATTAATATTAAGATGTTAGATGTACAATTTTTTTTTTTTTTTTTTTTTTTTTTTTTTTTTTTTTTTTGTGTCTAACTTCTTCATTATACTGCACAAATAATCTAAAGCAATTTGTGGAAGAAAAAAAAAATCAAATAATAATTTCTTATCATTTGCGTGCCACGTTGATTTTTCTAGAAAAGGTCATTTTCCTCTTCCATTCATTGATCAGATTCTAGAGCGATTGGCTGGCCAGAGCTTTTATTGTTTTTTAGATGGATATTTCGGCTATAATCAGGTAACCATTGATCCTAAGGATCAAGAGAAAACAACTTTCACTTGTCTGTTCGATATATTTGCATATAGACGGATGCCTTTCGAATTATGTACTGCGCCAGCAACATTCCAGAGGTGTATGATGTCTATCTTTTCGGGCATGGTTGAAAAGTTTCTCGAGGTCTTTATGGATGACTTCTCTATTTTCGGATCCACGTTCGAGAACTGTCTCCAAAATCTGTCCCTAGTACTTCAGCGTTGTAGGGAAACCAATCTTATTCTTAGTTGGGAGAAGAGCCATTTTATGGTTCAAGAAGGGATTGTTTTAGGACATAGCATCTCAGAGAGATGTATTGAAGTTGATAAAGCCAAAGTAGATTTGATCTCTAACTTGCTTCCTCCTACCTCCGTAAGGGGAGTACAATAATTTCTTGGGCATGCCGGGTTTTATTGACGTTTTATTAAAGATTTCAGCAAAATTTCTCGTCCTTTATGTAATCTACTTGCTAAGGATGTTCCTTTTGTCTTTGATGAGTCATACCTAGAAGTTTTCCACAAGTTTCGCTCTCTTCTTTCTACAGCTCCTATCATGAATCCTCTAAATTGGCTCTTCTATTCGAGATCATGTGTAACACATCTGATTATGCTATGGGTGCTGTCTTAGGATAACGAGTAGATAAGCTTCCTTATGTTATCTACTATGCAAGTAAAACTCTTTCAGATGCACAATTGAATTATATCACTACTGAAAAAGAGTTGCTTGCAGTTGTCTTTGCTTTGGACAAATTCAGATCATATCTGTTGAGTTCTAAAGTGATAGTCTATTCTGATCATTCTGCTTTGAGACATCTTCTTTCCAAAAAGGAAACCAAACCCCGTTTGATTCGATAGATCCTCTTGCTTCAAGAGTTTGATTACGAAATCCGGGATAAGAAAGGGTTAGAGAATGTGGTGGTTGACCATCTTTCTAGAATTCTGATTGCGAATACCTCAACTTCACTTCCAGTTTGTGATTCCTTTCCGGATGAACAGTTGTTTGGAGTTTCTCATATGGATTTGCCTTGGTTTGCTGATATTGTGAATTACCTAGCAATAGGCAAAATTCCTTTTTCTTGGTCAAAGGAGGAGAAAGATCAATTATTCTCTCAGATAAAGATGTACTATTGTGAAAATCCTCAACTCTTCAAGTATTGTGCTGATCAAATCATTCGTAGATGTGTTCCTGAAAGGGAATTTCATAGTATTCTGACCTTCTGTCACAATTTAGCTTGTGAAGGTCATTTCAGTGCAAAGAAAACTGCAGCTAAAATTCTTTAATGCGGTTTCTTTTAGCCATCACTCTTTCGGGATGGGTACTTGATATGTAGGTCATGCCATCGATGTCAGCAGTTATGATCAATTTTCAGAAGAAATATGATGTATTTAACTCTAATCCTAGTGATTGAGGTCTTTGATGTATGGGGTATTGATTTCATAGGTCTTTTTGTTCAGCCCAATCATAATGAATACATTCTTGTGGCTGTTAATTATGTATCTAAATGGGTTGAAGCAGTGGCTCACGCAGTTGTGATTGAATTCATTCAAACGAACATTTTTAGTCAGTTTGGTATGCCACGAGCTATTATTAGTGATGGAGGTGCTCACTTTTGTAATAGGTATTTCAGTACCTTGGTTCAAAGATATACGTCTTTTTCTTTCATATCTACTCGGTTGTTGATGTCCGAAGAACGTTATATATAATGGCGGATTGGATCTTGCCTCACTCGGTTCTTCGACCCATCTCTTCTTTCAACATTTACTATCTAACTCTACTTTAAAAGTCAGTATTTGGTTGAAGTGCTTAACTTAAGGCCTATTTTGGCTTAAGGTATGTTTCAATTTGTATTTTGTGTTATTTATATTTTTGTTTTTGAGGATACAATGTTTGAATTATTTTTTTTCCTGTTTCTTAATTATCTTAAGTTTGTTGACCATAATTCAGAATTATTCATCATGGTGTTCTCATTCTTAGTTGTGCTAATATGCTCTTAATGTTCATTTGGGTATAACATAAGTTAATGATTTGGATCTTTTGTGTTTCAAACCTTACAACCTCAGCAATTTCTTTTGTTCTCTCTCTATCCCCACCCCCCCCCCCCCCCCCTCTTCCCCCCCCCCCCCCAAAAAAATCTCATTTATACATCTTGGTTATTTTACTTTTTGCGTTACTTTTTAAGACTTAATAAATCTAATTTCTAAGTAGATATAAAATATCTTATTTATTCAATATATATTTTTAGAGTAATGATACTATGTCCGATCAAATTGACCTACTCCTAGTCCGAATCCTACGTGCAACTGCAACGTAATTATCTAAATCGTTAATATTTTATTTTTTTGCTAAAGATACCAAAAATAAATATAGAAAGAATCAGAAGATGTTTTGACGACCCCTCTCTATCTCTCTAATTTCTCCATTCTTTTTCTTGACTCACGGTTCTCTCTTTTCCACTTTGCAAAATTGAAAGGAAACAAAGCATTGAGAAGTCTCTATTGGTTCATAAAATCAAAGGGGAAAATACATATAAACTGCCTGAAGAGAAAAAAAACAAACCCTAATAAGATTGAAGATATGTATTCATGTTGTTTTTTTTTTCAATATATATTTTTGCTTCGGTATACTGTATTAGTTTTGGGGATTTGATTTTAAAAAAAAAAAAAAAAAAAAGGTTCATTACAAAGTGGATGCGAGAGAAAGAATCAAGGGAATTGCAGAAAGAAGAAGAGGAATGGAGAAAGACAAAGAGGGATCATCAAAAACTTTTCAGCTTTTTTTCATATTTATTTTTGGTATGTTTAACGCACAAATAAAATATCAATAATTTAGGTAATTAAGTAACAATTACACGTATGATTTAGACTAGGAGTAGACCAATTTGATCGGACAGAGTATCATTACTCATATTTTTATTTAGGCGGTGATCATTTTCTAAAAAAATCAACGTGCCATGATGAGAAATGATTATTGGATTTATTTATTTTTTTTCGTAAATTGCTTTAGATTCTTTGTGCAGTAATAATGAAGATGTTGACAAAAAAATTAAAAAAAATAAATTGTATATGTAACATCTTAATATTAATAAACACATTTATGTTGTGTTAAATACCTAATCTAGTGACTTTAATAATTAGAGATATATTGAGTACTCATTGTGAAAAATATGGTCCAAGAAAGAAAAAGAAACTAGTAAATTAGACTCAATTGAAATACGAAAGTTACTAACTCCTCTCTAAAGTTAGATTAAGAAAAAAAGGATAAAGACATCAAGGAGCCATGAAGGTCTTACCTAACTCATGTGCACACTCTATTGCATAATTTGGGATACCCAACTAGCTAAAGACCCAAATTAACTTTCAACATAAATTTTAAGTCTTCAAAAACAATGGATTAGATGTCTTGAGGGTAATTCCTCTCTTTTCTATCACCTTTCCAATAAACCAACTAATAATTGAAAATTAATATATATATTTTTAAAGAATATAATATATGTAAGGTGTGCCCGCTAATTGTCAAGAACCTAAACACACGCCTAAAATCCTAATTATACGCATGTGAATCTAGCTCTTTAGCCATATCTAAATCCATTTCACATTGTCACTTTACACTTGCACGCTGGGTATGAGAATTTTTTTTTCTTTTCTTTTTTTCCATAATCCTAATTTTTGGTAGAAGAAGTGTTTGAATGTGAATGCAACTCCTTAATTGTTAAAATGTGGTATTTTTTCATTTATTATAGAGTTAAGTGCAAAAAATCCTCTCGTAATATACAAAATGTGCGGTTACCCTTCGTGTTTAAAAAATACCCCCACATTTTTTAATTTGAGCAAATAAGGACAATTCTTCTAATTGATCAAAATTAAATCACAAAATTACTAAAATGCCCTTATAATATAATATATAAGAAAAACATATAGAATATTATCTCTCGTGGGATGATTAGTTAATTGTACAAAAATAGCATCAATAAAACATGCCACATCATTAAAAATTGTGCACATGTATGTAATTTCAAAAACTGTCCTTTCTACTACTTTTAGAATCCTTCTTTTTGTCCATTGCCACCATAATAACCTGCCCATTTGAGTCAGGGATAGGAAAAAATCTCACATTTGAATACTGTAATTTGAAGCAAGAAAGACCAAGAAAAGGACTTTTCTGGCAGCGGATCAAACGGCAAGGTTTTGAATAAAGGGACTTTGAAGAGGATGAAAAGTCTTATTTATCTTTGAGATTAATAATCAAATAGTTATTCGGATGATGAATTATAACTTAAAGTTTTAAATTTATTTTACTTTAAATTTATAAATACATAAACTAAATTAATTTAGCACTTTTATTTAATTTCATTTTAAATTTTATTTCTACATTTGATTTTTAAATTATTTTTACGTATCATTTAAGCTATTTTACTCTATCAAAATCTTGTTAAGTTTAATCACGTGGTTCTATCAATGGTAATTATATATATTTTTAGGGTCTCTCCCCATCCAAAGTCGGTGGCGTGGAAAGACAGGCTAACCCATGTAGTGATGAAAAGTGTTGCAGTAAGAGAAGGTCTAGCTCTTCTGTTTACTTCCAAATAATCTATGGCAAACCTCATGTAACTTTCCGTCACCACCATTATTGCCTCCTGAACTTGTCTCACTGCAGATGGCAATGGCTTCTCAATTAGCTCACCTGCACTACAAAGATAATTTATCACAACCCCATTGCCAAAGAACTTCTGTGGCATTGGTGGGTTAGATCTACACCGTCCATCAACAGCCAAGAGGAGTCTTGTCTGTTGATCAGGTTTTGGTTTTAGAGCCTGACTTCGAGCTTTCCACACAAAAGCCGAGAGTGCTTTGAATGTGGTGCACTTGGCTACAACCCCATCTTCCATGGCTTTCATTTTAAGCTTTTCAAGTTTGTCAGGGTCAAAACAAAATGATCTGAACACCATTTTTTCTTCTTTGTATACATCTGCAGTGTTTGATATATCTTCGATTTCAATGAATTCGTAATGAGGAAACTCGATCTTGGGTGGGTTTCTAGCTTTCAATATGGTTCTATCTAGGGATGGAGGAACCTTGAGGACCAAGCCTCTGGCAATTTCACCCCGTGAGTTTATGAATTCCATAGGAGTAATTCCATCAAATATAGCATGGTTCACGCATATCCCTAGAACAAATCCTCCACATTTGAATTTTGTCACCCGAGAGATGCTATTTAGGGTTAACTTCAGTTACACCCTCTGTACTTTGTCCAATCTTCAAGAAGACCCCCCACATTTGCAAAAATTAAGTTAAACCCTTTATTTTTTCTGACACACATCAGTCTCCCCCCTCGGTCAATGGTTAAAGCGGGTTAAACACACTTTTTGCCGACATCAGCAAAAAATTAAATTTTAATGTCCAAATTACCCCTCAACTGTTATGTTTGACTACAGACTATATACCATCTTTGAATTATATCAAAATCTCCAAATTAAATTTTATGTTTGGCTACAGATTATGTTTGGCTTCAAATTAAATTTTTACCAGTTTTGGGTGGAGTGACTCATTAGTGTCAGATTTCGTTTCTTTATCTTGAATCTTCTGTAAAATTAAGATATATATGTGTGTGTGTGTGTTCTATGCTTAAATTTATATAAGAGGAATGGTTATTTTTTTATTTTTTTATTTTTTTAATTTTTTTTTTGTTAAAGTTAAAAATATAAGAGGAATGTTGCAGGACTTCACATGCGTGATCTTCAAACGCTTTATGAAGAAACCGGCCAATATATATTAGGTGACAAATCCACATCTAATTTATTTAAATTCTAGATCTGATGAATACAAAATAATTTAAATTGAGAGTTGATATATTTTAACTGGTAAGTAACTCTTTATGAAAGAAAATGTTTGCAATATACGACAGTATTTAGTTAGTGGGTGACACATCTGATACGACAGCATTTATTTTTTATTTTTTATATTTTTGCATTTTCAAATTTATTTTGTTTTTATTTATAGATTTTTCATTTACATTAGTATTTTGGCAACTGACACATCTGATATTGAGAAAAAAAAAAATATACATCTGATATTTAATTTTTATACACTTTTACTGATGTTTTGTACATTATTTGTCTAAAGAATATTATATTTTAACACATTTTTAACCTTTTACCTTTTGAAATTAGATTAAAAGATTCTTGATATACTTGTAGCAAGTTGCAACAGTAGAGAATAATTCTTTTCTAATTTTAAATTGAATAATTAGGAACCTTGTTCATTCAAAAATCATTTTAACATTCTTTTTCTCAAAATGTTACTTAATTAGTGTTGTAAATAATAAAATAAGTGAAGAGAGAAATGAAAATTATTACGTAGTTCACTCACTAAGGGTTAAATCCACGGCACAAAGAGCCCAAGGGCTACATCAGTTATATAATATTCTCTCTTAATATTTGTATAAAATAATCAACTCTAAGTAAAAGAATATATGTGATATATATGATCTAAGAAAGATTCTTAAAATCATTCCCTTGATTCACTCATGTCAAAATTCTGTGTGAACGAGTGTGATTTAAGAGCTTTAATCACTCATATAATGATATTTTCCAACATAACGTCTTCCAACAATTAATACATATATATATATATATATATATATATATATATATATATATCATAAATTGGATTCCTTTAGATGTTATAGAAGAAATGTAAATATAGGGGGAAAAAAAAACCCCAAAAATAGTGTATTATTGATTTGTATGTTTAGCAGGAAAATGGATATTCAAAATATGGGAAAAGAAAATAGTGATCTAATTGTTTAGTCTTTCCATTTACAATATAATCACTGCCGTGATGTATTTCCATGGTGCTATTATTTGGCAAGAGGCGAGCGCCTCTATATACCTTTGTTTTAATATTAAAAATCTTGCTCGTATCTTTAACGGTTTACTCTTCTCTATTCTCTCTCATTTTGGTCAGGCGTTTCGAGGCAATTGAGGCAAGATTTCTTGGTGCATCATTTAGTGCTTTTGTAGACGTTCTTACACTAGCCACAAAAACAATTGAAGTATTCGGTGGAGGAACGGAATTGTGACATCCTTGCATAAGATAGTTCTTGAAATATGCCATATTCTAATTTTACTGTTGTTATACTCTTTGTCTTGGAGGAAAGGAAGAAAAGCTATGCAAAATAGAGCAGAGAATAACAAAAGCATAGAGCTGAACTGAGACGAGCTCCAATCTGCTGCAATCTTTCTGTAATTTGAGGGACAGAGCTTGAGGCGAATGGTGGGGTTGATAGAATTAACATTGGTGATGAAACCATATATACCATGTACCCTTTTAATCCTTAATGGATTGAAATCATTGAAAGCGGGGGTTTGAGAATGGTGATGGTCAATAGTTCCTAGAAGGAAATTCACTAGATCGAATAGTGGGAGGGAGGGACTCACCATGGGCATACTTGTTCAGAGAGATGGACGCTCTAGACAACTGAAAAATCGTCTGAACAGTAGGACTTTGCTTTATCTCTTTTTGGTACATGAAGTAGAGTAAGTATAAAAAATATATAAAAAATCATTTATCATGTTATAGCCAAGACATGTAAGAACTTTGTATATTAAAAACCAACCATATAGATAACCACCTTAACAATATAAACTGGAGTTTGGAGTAATAGAAATAATGAAAATCAGGCATTTTTTTTCTCCCTATTCTCTCCCCTCCAGTCCATAAAAAATTTTGCTTTACAGATCTGAGGAAGGCTTATTACTTTATTATTAGTTTTATGGAGTGGAGGGAAAAATAAAATTAAAAATTTTGGCAATGAATGCCTTAAAATTAACCTTGGGGCATTTCCCAACGAACAAAATATGCTAACTGGAACCGGAAATCACATCATTCTGTGATCATAATTTATGAAACTCACATCATTCATTGCCCACATCGCTTATGCAATAAATTTACATCATAGCGTGTTGCACTGCCAACCTGAACGTAGCACAACGCCAAGCCACAAGATCCGAATTCCCCAAATCCCACAATTAAATCCACCAAACACAAATAAACCCCAAAAGGGTTAGAAATACAGCCAAACAACACAAATCACCTTACTACCAACAATAACATGCCAAAATCCTACAACATACAAAATAGCATTTTAGCATATATCAACGAGGAAAGTAGCATCAGTATATTACACCATCTGCAGAAACTACTTTTGTGCCAAGTCATATTCACAGACTGATCATTCTAATGCACTGAATAACAGTTGTTAAAAAAAGCTATGCAGGAAACAGTTCCAGTTGCCCATTAGAATGCCTACAAGTTTGGTTTCTAACTATTACAGAAACATCCGTCTACAAGTTTAGTTTCTAGCTATTACAATAATGACACGTCAGCTCTTAGAATGGGCCATCTAACCAGTCCGATGTTTTTCCGGTAAATGCCCCTGCAAAGATTCAAGATACAATGAAATCAACAAGTGCAGCCATCATAATTGAAAAAAATATCATTTGCACATAAGAATATCATCAGTGCACGTGCACACAACAAAAATAATAGCCTTACTAATGGTCCAATGATTTGCTTAAAAACTAGCAAGAGCATTGTCCCTGAACGGATGCTAAACCTGATGGGGTCATTAATGGCCTGGAATAACTATTGAGGTAGATGCAAACAGCATTAATTCACTTCTTATTTCCAGATTTGACAAATTCAACTAATAGATTATGGATCCCCTCAGCTCTGACGGTGAAGAGTTCTAAGAGGCCCTCAATTTTCCTCATCCCCTCCTCCCATTGGTTGTAGTTTAAATTACAGGACTTCATCAGGAAACCCTAGTCATCCTACATTACAGACTTATTAGTACTCAAATCCTCATTGATACTCTGTAGCACTCATTTAAGGGGAACATTTAAAAACCTATAACAGTCATTATTATCTTGTTTTGAAGTCGGGGTAGAACTAATGAGCCATATGCAGCTCTAATAAATTGTGTTCAGAAAACTAAATCAAATATGACCCAAATGGTCAAATAGTTTGTCAAAGATTCTGCTGAACCCAACAAGCCTAATTTAATTAATTACTATATTTTGTTCTGATAGCCTCTTGATTATCTGGAATTTGGTTTACAAAAAACAATAATAATAAAAAGAAGAATAGTCATTAATATAGAAGCCACAACAAATGAATCATGAAATTCCCAGGATAAACAGAATTGGCGTGAGTCAAAACCCTCCTATATTGACCATTGGGGATCAAAATTATTGTGTACGCCATGTAAAATTATTACCGAAGAGAATCCAAATTCCACAAAAGACATTTTACTAATGTAAATATTTATTTAATTTTGCTCAGAGGTATTGTATGAAGGTAGAATATTCCACAACAAATAGAATGTAAAATTTGATATCTTCAAACATTGTACTGTTACAGTTACTAGGGCAATTTTTTTTTTTACTCAGAGTAGGTTGAAATGATCCTGATTTCTGGCAGGGTGTGTTATATCTTGTTGAGCATACTAATATTACAATGGTATCTAAGGCTGCAACCAAAAACAGTGCCCTTATCTGAGGGCTCTGCAGCCTCAGGAAACTCAATGAAGATGAAGGAAATAAATGCGCCAAAAAAAAAAATTTCAATACAATCAAAATTTTAACAAAATGATTCTTAGACCCCTATTTGAATATTTGTAGAGTACAAAACTCTATTGATTAGATTCTTCGGCCACACAAATAGTCCTAAATGGCATTACCCAAAGTTTTAGAAATGAGACAATGACTAATGCACATATATGGATGCATGGTAATATAATACAAACATATGATATAAGGAAGTATATGTAACAAGTTCCCAATAAACATAGACTAATAATTAAAAACACTAACAATTAAAAATTAGACAGTTTCCCTTCTCAAGAAAGAAGGAAAAGACCTTGGGGAAGGAAAACAGTTGGTAATTAATTAAAATAGCTTTTTTATATTTTGTCATTATTCTGTTCTTGGGAAGAAGAGAAGGAAAGAAACAAAATGAGGAAAGAAACAAAAAAGAAGGGAAGCTTGATTATTAGGGTTAATCTTTTTGAGGTGTTTGCAGCATTTTGATCAGCTGTAGCTGGCCATAAGTCTCTATTTATTGAAAACACTTTAATGGAATAGCTAGAAAGGTTAATATTTGTACACTATAAAGCACGGACACTTCTAGGAATGACTCGTACCCATGTGTCTTGTACCATAAAGCATGGACACTTCCAGAAAGGTCAACACTTATAAACTATAGTGCAATTTGTCAACAGATATTTACACCATCAAACAAATCACTACATGTCAAGAATTGATTATACATAATACCCCACGAAGTCAAGGGCAAACCACCTGGGCAGAAAGACCTTGAATCCATTTCTTTTAGAATTCTTTAGTTAGTTAAAGCGAATGACCTAGCTTCAAACTACTCTAGAACACAGCTACATGCAGATGTACAGGATATCGATAGCCATTAATCAGAATCATTTCCTGAGCGATCCAGATAAAACTGGAGCTGTTTGAACGCACCTTGTCAGTCCTTTTCATTTCATGTTAAGTCATATATGTCACTCCTCTTTGCCTAAGTGTAGGGCTTGATTGAAGAAGTGCTCAGTCTATTTGTGTGTACTGATATTGTTCGGGAGACATGGTCTGATTGATGCCTGTTTGAGTATATTCACCTTGAAGTCATCAAAGCGAGAGAGGAAGAGAACTTCATTGCATTGCGCCGAGGAAGCGTCACTCCCAACTCTCATCTTCCATGAGAGACCGCCAAGCAGCCGCAGAAAGCCTTAATACAAGGTATAGGTGGGAAGAGCGAAACACAGAAAAAGAAAGATGAACTTGAAAGACATCATGGGTACGTGAGTGAAACTATGAAGCATGCGAGGAAGATCAGTGAACTCGACACAGTTAGGTGGGGGGACACCTTGGTTCTAGGCTCTTTTAAAAAAACGAACTAAACTGAACTCTAGCCAATCAATAGGACCTCAGCCTCTGTACGTGGTTCAAAGTCACAAACCTTCACATTTTGATCTACTGAGTTTTCTAGGCCGGGCAGGCTAAGAAGGAACTGATTCACGCAGGGATCAAGAACGCTTCTATCTCAACTACAGCGCAATTTGTCAACAGATATTTACACCCATCAAACAAATCACTACATGTCAAGAATTGATTTTACATAATTATTTTGTGTAAAATCAGTCTTTCACAGATATCAATTGCCAATGAGTAATGATTAACTAAAACCCAGTTTTTCACAAATCACCAAACACAAATAGTCGTGATTAATGATTAACTAAAATCCAAACCACATACATCATTGACCAATGATTAATGACTAACTAAAACATATGATTTGAGCACGAAAATTGTCCACAGATTCACACTAAATCATGAGCTTAAAAAAGAAAAAGAAAATATAAATGTATTGCAGATAGAGCCCCACACGTGGTGGAATTTACAGACCTTCACAGAGACCATAGAAGAGAAAGCAATGGGAATGGGGTTCGTGGTAGTAAAGGGCAGAGCTATATGAAAAGCAAGACAACAAAAAGAGCTTACTATATGATATAATGCTTCCTAAAGTAATGAGTTTTATATCTTACTCACCATGTATGTTCTGTGATGATGTGAGTGCTCTTAGTGAATTTTTTTGTAAGGGATTAAACATTTGTCCAACACCATCTCTATTGCTTTACTCTGCCACCTCTCCGCATCCACCTCTACGCTGCCACGCCATCCCTTCATCTTCAAGTAAGATAAAACTGCTACTTCTTCCACCAATGAAATTTTAATTACCATTTGTTGAAGAAGGGTCTCAACTTTCCTATTAAGCTTTGTCTCAAAACCATGAAGAACTTGATACTGACCCTCTAGCTCCAATTCTAGCCTCTTCAATTCATTTGGAGCCAACTTTTTACCTTTTCTACCTTTGGAGAGTTTGAGCTCTGTCTCTCTCACTTGATTCTGGATCTTCCCCACCTCCCCATGGAGGTATAAGAAATTTCGTAATTGTCGGCTCATAGTCATCCTGCTGGGAGCCATCCTGGAACAGTAACAAAATAAAATAAAATTACAAGACAAGCTAGCATATGATATCAGTATAGAATGGACACAAGGTTCCTCTGAAATTCACTCACACCCTAGAGTGCTAGGGAAAGCAACCACAAAGCCAAACAAAGCCAATTAAAACAAGACTTTTAGACTAATACAGATAAGTAACCCACAAAACCAAAAAGATAATTTCAAGTTTTGTACTGAAATGCTAGTTTAAGATGGGGATAGAAATCATCTTAAGTCTAATAGTAACCTTGTCTAACACCCCCTGCAAGGTGATGGGGTTGCAACAGATCAAATCCAGGTCAAATATTCTGGATTTGGAACTTCTTTGGAATTCTCCATAATTGTTTTCTCTGGTGTCAAAGTGCTGCCATCAACCATATGCAGCATATCAGTGCTATAAAGAATGGGAAGTAACTGACTTCTCCATAGTAGATAGTTCGATCGATCTAGTTTAATTGCAACTTGTGAGAGGTTTGGTACTCCAGAAAATGATAGAGTAACTTGTGACGATGTTCATGTTTGTGTAGCCATGAGTAGAACAAGATGAGAAAATTTTAATTAATAAAAATGATTGGCTCTGATACCATTAAAAGCTAATAAGCTGCTTTTAGCAGAGAAAACTGAGCACCACATGAGAGGTTATCTACAACTTGTTCCAGATTAAAAACTGAAATCCTATGATACCTTTGATTCAGATTTTTCCTAACAGTTCATATCACCCATCTAAATACAGAAAGGTTATGATAACATTGGCTGAAGGAACTTCTGTATTTGTTTTTGAAGATAATTGAAAATAAAAAAGGAAAAACCAAAAAAATTTGATAACACTAATAGACACGTGAAGGTCTCATCAAACTCCAATCAATAAACGTAATTAAAAACCAGAAACAAATATTAGATATTGAATAATTATCCAAATGCAAACAATTTGGATTATTGAAAAAGAATTACGTCGATCATGATTCGCACACACTAAAACACTTCTAATAGTCGATAAACTTAAACAGATAAAGAACAATCAATAACAAAAATTGAATTTCACACAACTAAAACACTTCATATCAATGGATAATTGAAAAAGAATTACGTCATTCACACACACTAAAACATAATAATCGATAAAACTGAAACAGATAAAGAACAATCAATAACAAAAATGGAATTTCAAACACACTAAAACACTTGATATCTGTCATATAAAGAACACAGATCTGTGATTCACGTACCAGAAACTCTAGGAGATTGTGAATCGGGAACAGAAACCCTAGGAGATAGGATCAACCTGCCAACACGAAGTCACGAAGGTTAATAGTTAGAGAGCAGTATATGTAGATTTATTACACTGAATGACTGAATGTAATTATTTTAACCTACAAATTGGAGATGCTTCACTCCTCGGAGCTCTGCAATGTAGAGAGAGAGACTTTCAGATGAAATGAAATTAGAGGTAGCTCTGAATTGGAGAGAGAGCGCAGCAAATGCGCGTGATTAAGCCTGCTGTGGATTTCCCTCCAAAAACAAAAAAAAAAAAAGCCCTTTATGGTAAACCGGTTCGTTCCCAATCAAGCCAAACCGCTACCATATAATGCAAAAAAAAACCCCTGAACTATTGCCATATTGCAATTAACCCCCTGAACTACAAAAAAAACCCCTGACCTATTATTTTATTGCAATTTAAGCCATTCCGGCATGTGACTTAATCGGAAAATGAAAATGACCAATTTAACCCTTAATAAAACAGTGTAGTATTGGTCATATGCTGAGTTATCTTAATGACATGGCAGATTGCAATCTCTATGACCAATAACCAAGCAACAACACTAAGCCTTATTCTTATCCTTTCGTACTGACCCCGTCTGCCATAACCCACTAAAGCCTCATTCTCAACCACTGCATTCGCGCCTTTTTTGTTCACACCAAGGTCTCAGAGTCTGGGTAACTTAACAATTTCTTACTCATTGTTGATCTGGATACAAAGTCTGAAGTGGTATCCCATCAGTAATTCTCTTAACACTAAATAATCATTAATGTGTTCTATACATCTGTGGAATGATATAACAAATTGTTTTAGAAAGAAAGAAAACCTATGTTTGTTGATTTTTATACCCAAATTTGTTTTGTTTTTACTTCTATAAATGAGTTGGGAAGTTCATTATTGCCCAAAAACCTAAATTTGTCAAATGAAGTTTGTCGATTTAACTTTTGTACATGAGTTATGAAGGTCTCTGTTGTGTGTTTCAGAATGGCCGACCAACCACTTTTATATTGTGGCTTTATATGGTTTGTTCTTTACTATTAAAAGTTTATAAGTATAAAAGTCGTTGTATGAAATTTTTTTATTTTTTATTTATTTATTTATTTTTTTCATTGCATCAAACACTAAATATGATTGGGACCCTATATATTTTCTTTTTGTTGTTATATTTCAATCGTGGTCCCTTATATGTCTCAAAGCAATATATTTTGTAGTGGTCCTTATTCTGTATTCAAAGCTATTAGTTGTAGTTAGTTTTCTTTCAATGGTGGTCCTTATATTTACTGGTTGGTCATTTATATATTTTGTAGACTTTGTTGTGTATTAAATTTGGTGATTATTACTAATTGAAGTGTCAAATAGTTATCAGTGATCACTATTCTTGTTTTATAACTAAATATGTGGCCCACTTGTTTAGTTATATATTTGTTTAATTTACGTGGTTATTGTAAATTGTTATTAAATACGTTTATTGGTTATTGTAAATTATTATTGTAGATGAGTGGCCTTTACAACATTGAACTTCATCATGGGAGTGTTTTTGAGAAATCACATACTATGACATACTTAGGAGGAAGTATATTTGAATTTGACAATGTAGACCCTGACAAGATGTCACTTATTGTGATTCAAGCTTTTACTAGCAAGTTGGGATATGGGGTGATTAAAGAAGCTTTTTACAAAGTACGTCATGAGTGGCAAAACTTTAGAGAAGTCAAGTGTGAATTAGATGTTTTTAGAATGTTTTATGACCATGAAGCCCATAAGGTAACCAATAAAATTAGGTTGTACATTGTTGCACCTGTGCTGAATAGTGCAGAAAATGAGGATGACTTCATGCAAGGGATTGAAAACTCAGATGAAGTAGGGTAGGAGTATGCACTACATGAAATAAACACAATTGCTCATGTTCAATCAGATTATGGTCCTATTGATGATTTAGTCAGTCTATGTGTCTCTAATGACAGTGAAGAAATTGATTCAAGTTTTGAATACAAAGACTTTTATCCTTTAAGGGATTTGGGGGGAAAGGAACTTGAATTAGGTATGAGGTTTGGTTCAGCTGCAAACTTCAGATTAGCACTTAGAGAAGTATGTTTAAAGAAGAAGTTTGATATTAAGTTCACAAGAAATGATGGAGATAGGGTGAGTGCGGTGTGTAAGGCTGAATGTGGTTGGAAAATACATGTAAGCAAACCAGATGGTGAGAACTGTTTGGTAGTGAAAACATATGTTTCTGAATATACAAACTGCCTGCGGTTTAATAATAATGGACAAGCCTTATCTTCCTATTTAGCAACCAAGTACTTAGAACACTTGAGATTGAACACCAAAATGCCTTTGAATTCACTTAGAACCACTATTGTAGTTGATTTTGACATTGATGTGTCTAAACACAAAGTGTATAGGGCAAAGAGAAAAACATTAGAAATGATTGAAGGGAATGAAACAGACCAGTATGCAAAAATAAGGGATTATTGTAGTTTGATTCTTAGAACCAATCCTGGTAGTGTTGTTAAGATAGCAACTGATCCCACTCCTATTGAAAATGTTAGGAGATTTCAAAGAAGGTTGTAATCCACTAATTGGTGTGGATGGTTGTTCCTTAAAGGACCATATGGTGGCCATCTTTTTAGTGCAGTCTCTACTGATGGAAATAACCAAATTTTCCCAGTTGCATATGCAGTAGTGGAGGCTGAGACAAGGAATTCTTAGGAATGGTTTATAGAAGAACTAATGAATGCTGTAGGGCCTTACTATGGTGTCACATTCATATCTGATAGATAAAAGGTTAGTATATTTCATGTGTTTACTAATTTTTAATACTTTACAATCTTGGAATTTAATTATGTTTGGTTTAAATTATGGTTCTCACTTAGTATGTTTGTTGTTTTGTTTGTGATTCAGGGTTTAATGGACATATTTGAGAACATCATAGAAGGGAATGATCACAGGTATTGTGTGAGACACCTGTATGAAAACTTCCAGCTCGGGTTCAAAGGGCAGCAGCTGAAAATTGAGTTATGGGAGGCTGCAAGGGTATGTACAGAAGCTGATTTTGATAAATATTAGATAGATAAATGTTGAAACACTTGATTGGTTGAGAGAGGTTCTACCTCATTGGTGGTCTAAGTCAGCCTTCAATTTTACTTCAAAAAATGATGTGGTGATTAATAATATATGTGAAAGTTGGAACTCGGTTATTCTTGAAGCAAGAGACAAACCAATCATGTACATACTAGAGTGGATCCGGTGGCATCTCATGCTATGGTTCCAAGTTAAGAGAGAGTGGATGGAATCACAGCTTGGCTAATTATGTCCAGATATACAGCAATTGAACAAGGTGAAACAAGCAGCTAGAATTTGCAAAGTGCATTACACTAGTGAGAACAAGTATGAGGTTCAATGTTATGGAATTAGTGAGGCTGTGGACCTTAACCATAGAACATGCAGTTGTAGGGTTTGGAGTTTGACTGGTATCTCTTGCAAGCATGCTATAACATGCCTATTTACTAAGAGAGACCAACCTGAAGCATATGTTGATCAATTCTATCATAGGAAAACTTACTTGAGGTCATATGCTGGGTTAATCATGCCCATTCCTATGAGAAGGTTGATGAAAACAGACCCTATTATCCCTTTGCTTCCACTTTACTTTAGAAAACCTATTGGTAGACCAAATAAGGCTAAAAATAAGAAAAATGATAACCCCAAGGGCGCAACTAAA